AATTAAGACAAGTGCTGCAAATATTTAATATCCTGTGGGGTTTTTTTTTCTAGCATAAACAAGCTATTTCTTCTGTGTATATGTTAACAAAAGAAATAAACCGAGGCCCGTGAAGCCATGTGGCTAGATCTCAGATGCCACAGAGCAAAGCCCCTCTCTTGAGCCGGCGGGCTTCGCCTTCTGTGATGTCTTGTAACCTGTGGGCAGTCGGGGAGTGTGACACGGAATGGGTGGGCAGCTCCTGGAAGGACGGATACCGTGGCCCCCATGGCCAGCGTCGTCCCCCCGGCAGGCGGGCGTGAGCTGGTCTCGGCGAGCTCCGGGTTCACTTGAGGATGTGTTTATTTTCGCTCTGCCGTTCAGGATGTTTACAGCCGTCCTGTGTGGTTTGCCCGCAACTGCACTTGCATTTGAATTTGGTGGGCAGCTTGCCCTGGGTAGAGGATACCCCGCTGGCCCCCTGCAACCTCCGGCGCACACACGGGCACGTTCTTGTTCCTTTGAGTAGCTGCCAGGTTTGTAGAGTGTGTGTCTGGGGGTGGAATAGAGTGGGTAATTATTTGGGGGATGGAAACACAGGACATGTTTTTGAATAGGCCTTTCAGTGAGTTGGCAGAGCCTCAGGGCCGCTCCCACACCGCCACAAAGAGCACAGCCATGCTGGTCATTTTGCATTTGCCAGACGCAGTGTCTTATTTTTTGAATGAACAGGCCCTCCCTCCCCACCCGTTCTCTACCCTTTGTTTAGAATTGGGATGTAATCTAAATAATTGGATTTACCAGCTTATGTGTTTAATATTGGAAAATTGAGTTAATAAAATGATGGTTTGGCATGATCGTCCCTCAGCAAGGGACCAGCTGTGCGCTGACTCCAGACAGCTCCGTCTCCCCGGCTCCTGCTTTCCTCCCACCTCGAATGTGCGCTGGGTCGTCCTTGGGTTGGTAGTCAGGAATCCTGGACAGACTGGAATTTAATTAACCTAGAAATGGCTGTTGTGCTGAGGTCAGGCAGCCCTCAAGATGGAGCTCACAGATAGCTACACAGTGGGGGACCCCAGAGGAAACCTGGAGAAAAGGTGCCACCCTCTCTTGTGAGGCACCCGGGAAGACTGCCCAGGAAGCTTCTGAATGCCTCCTTGAGGGCAGGGCGGAGGGAGCTGGGGAGGTGGGCACAGGTGGGAAAAAGGCTGGTGCAGGGCTGACTCACGGGGTACTCTCTGCAAGCCTCCTTGCAAAGTAACTAACGCTAGCTACTGGGGGTGGTTGGCAGCACAGTGCTGGGGACCCACAACCAGGGCTAAGCACACGCCCTACCCTGGAGCCCTTAGTAGTAGCAATCATTTATGTACTTAGATATCCACAGAAAGGCACGATATGTTGTGTTTATTTCCTCGTATCCAAACTCTGGAGCAATTCAGAATCTGTCCTTGAACCTCACTTGCACTGCTATGAGGTGCTTGCCACAAGAATTCACCTGAGTGGGGTGTTACTGGAGCTCATCGTGGGTGGCCAGGACAGCAAAGCCAACACCTGCAGTCCCCATGGGGGCTCTGTGAGATGGAAAGCTCCACCCCAGGCACCAGGTTCCTGGTGTCCTCTGGGTCACGTTTGCTTAGTCACTGGGGAGCTGGGCTTCTTGCTCTGAGGGGTCATATCTTGCTGCCCCTTCTTACTACCTTACTGTTCATAGTCTTCTTTCTATGCAGGAGCAGTTTCTTGTTGAGGTCCTGAAAGTGTGAGATGCCGTGTGCTCCACTGTGGCATGTACATGTCATCTTTTCATTGTGGCCACATAGTCTCCTCCTCGTGTAGGATTTGTAAATCTTTTTTTTTTTTTTTTTTTTTTAAGCTGAAACACTTATACTGCTTCATGAAAACAGGATTTTTATCTATAAAATTCCTGCATTACTCGGTGTGAATTATGTCCATTTGGATTGTGGAATTTGGAATTAAAAATTCCAGTAGAGCTACCGAGCTGAGACACGCACCTGTAATTCCAGCAGCTTGGGGGAGGCCAAGACAGGAGGATCATGAGTTCAAGGCCAGCCTCAGCAGTTTAGTAAGACCCTAAGCAGCTTAGTGAGACCCTGTCTCAGAGTAAAACATGAAAAGGGCTGGGGTAGCTTCGTGGTCAGGTGCCCCTGGGTAGAATTCCCAGGCACGCCACCCCCTTCCCCTCAGTAGAACAAAATAAAAAATTAGTTGTTGTTTATTTTTTAGTTGTAGCTGGACACAGCACCTTTATCTATTTATTTCTGTATGGTGCTGTGAATTGAACCCAGCGCTCTACCCCGGAACCACAACCCCAGCCCTAGGTTTTCTAAATTAGAAACAAAACATTTTTTTCAACAGGTGGAAGGGTGGGGGAGAACACAGGTGTGTGGAGGCCAGGAGTTAGTTCATTGGCTCTCCCCGGGCTGCGCTGGGGCTTGATGACTGTGGCACTTGTCCTCCCTTGGCCTTCTCTGATCTGCGTTGCCCCAGGCCTGCCTGCAGCCAGGTGCCAGTAAATTTAATTCAGAAACCGGGAGTGAGGCTTTAGAAACTTGAAGTGTTTTCATCCAATAGACTTTGTATCTACTGAATGTCACAAAGGATTTAGGCTTGTGTTTTCTCTAATTCTCCTGTTAAAAAGCGCATATCCACCACTTGACCCAGCTATCCCGCTCCTCCCTTTATACCCAAAGGACTGAAAATCAGCATATTACAGTGACGTGGCCATGTTTGTATAGCTCAGTTCACACTAGGTAAACTATGGAACCAACTTAGATGGCGTTAGTAGATGAATAGATAAAACAAAATGGTATATGTACTCGATGAAATATTACCTAGCCTTAAAGAAGAATGAAATTATGGCATTTGCCCGTAAATGGATGGAGTTGGAGAATGTCATACTAAGCAAAATAAGCCAATCTCAAAAAACCAAAGGCTAAATATTTTCTCTGACAGACAAATGCTAATTCCCAATAAGGGGGTGGTGCTGGGGAAGAATAGTTACTTTAGGTGGTAGGGAGGGGAGAGGGCATGGGGACAGGAAGGATAGTGGATTGAAAGAGACATTATTACCTTATGTACATCTATCACTGCATGACCGATGTATTTCTACAGCACATACAATCAGAAAAATGAGAAATTATACCCCATCTATGTGGGACTAATACCTAGATGCATAAATGCATTCTACTGTCATATTATAAATAGAACAAATTTACAAAAAACAAAGCCAAACAATTTTTTTTAAAGCATGTATCCGTTTGCAACAGTTAGGCTACTTTCCCCTTCAAATGCTCTAAAGTTGTTTGTCAACACACCTTCCACCAGATATGTCTAGACTTCAGCGTCCCCCGTCCCCTGTGACGGTGCCACCTCTGGGCTTAGCTCCCGGGTTACAGCCAGGCGGTTGATGGCAAAGATGCTCTGTGGGGTTGCTCTCTTTCCTTTCCTTATAGAACATGGGGAGATTCTGTGCAGTGATTAGCTATCCCTCTTGTTAATGGGACTGCCTCCCGCTGCCCTTTGAAGGGATGTGGGCACTTCCACTAGCAGGAAAGTTTTTAAAAGGCTGTAGGTTGCCCGTGACATAGCTGAGGAGTCATGCTGTCTCCTTGTACTGAGTTGATTGCAGGGAAACAACTTTTTCTCCTTAGAGCAGGAAGTACAAATACCTCGCAACAAATTGCATTTAATATTTTTTGGGATGGTGAATTTATGCAATAAAAATTTAAAGATATTGACTTGTACAAAATAAACAGTTCTGTAGTATTTTGATAAAAAATGGAATGTTATTTATAAATGTCACAGGGTTTTGAGCTTCAGAAGTTTACTGTGCTCGCTATTTTTATACACTGTGCTCATTACTGTTTTATATGATCTGCTCCCAACAATAAGATTGCAAGGGACAATTGCATTCATGTCCTGATTTTTGCTTGATTGATCTGAGTTAGGTGGCATTATCAGTCCCTTGGTGTTTTAGGATTCTTTCTTTGGAACTCTAACAGATGTTAGAGCCCTTAAAGCTGCTGCCTTGCTCTTCTGTGTTCTGCCCTCCAGTGCCTCTTCTCGGGCCTGTGAGAAGGTCCACATGGCTGACCTGGAGCAGGTCAGAAGCATGCTCTCATTCCTGGAGATGCCGTGTTCAATGTTGAGATTTTTGCAGTGAAGGAAGAGCTAGTCCTGTATCAGTGATCAGTGCCAGGTCCATTCTTGCATAACATTAAACTGTGACCGTGTCTTTGTGTGCAGAAAGGGACTTCTACTCTTGGCTAGGGTGTTAGGGAAGGAGTACAAACACTGTCCCAGGATTCATGAGGGCTCACATGCCTCTTGTAAGGCCTTTCTGGTCTAGGGAAAGGGAGCGCCTCACATGTGCTCTGAGGATGCACAATGGTTCTTAGTGGGGAACCAGTCCATTTGAATCCCTGATTTAGGATTTGGGTTTGACCCTGCTGGCCAAGGGGGGACTGTGATTTCCTGGGGTTGGGTACACTAAGAAGATCTGCCCCCTGCATTTATTTTACAGGCTCTGGTTATTCAGGTGTGCTTATCCGGCTGACTTCAGGAGGTAGGGGTGGGAGGCTTCGTGGTCTAGGTTAGCGGGCTGGGAGAGGGGAGGGTAAACAGGCAGAGTTGGACTTGTATGTTGTTCAGTGAAAGCTGAGGCTGCTTGGTGCAGCAGGGCCTGCACTGCTTCTTGCCGCCGTCCCAGACACAGGGATGGAACCCATCAATCCCCGCGTCAGTCACTGCCTGCCGTTTTTGAAGGGCATATGTGTAGTTTGCACACGCTTATGCTTACACACCCAGCACTCGTGGCACGTACTTTATGTCCCTGTAACAAATTTATGGTGCCTTAAAGCAGGCCTGTGTGGCTTATGAGTGTGAGAAAACCTTAATTAGAAACAAAGGGTTTGCGTGGATGGTGTGCAGGATCTTATCGCTCCACATAGGTCTGTATCCTCCCGCCTCTGCCCGAATCTTAATTTTCCTTCTTGCTTTCGCAGGCCCAGGCTGCAAGCACAAAGGAAGTTTGCGCAGTCCCAGCCGAACAGCCCCAGCACAACTCCAGTGAAGGTCGTGGAGCCTTTGCTACCCCCGCCAGCTACTCAAATTTCTGACCTCTCCAAAAGGAAGCCTAAGACGGAAGACTTTCTCACCTTTCTCTGCCTTCGAGGTGAGCCCACGTGGCTGCTGTGTTGGAGGGCAGAAGAATGGCCCTGCACAGACCTGGCCCTGGCCCTCCTTTGCCACCTCCCAGCCCTCCTTCCCCAGCTGGGTCGGTGGGAGTCTCAACAAGGCATCCTATTGAGAAGGTGCCCTCTAGCTTTTTGGACCAGCCGCCTGTTGAGTCTTTGTGTTTCTTTTGTTTTCATCTGACTTTGAACTCCCCCTTCTTACTGAATGCTCAGCTGCACTCTTGGTAGGGTTTTTTGGGTGGTGGTGGTGGTTTCATTTTTGTTTTTTGGTACTAGGGATTAAACCCAGGGGCTCTTGACCGTGGAACAACATCCTCAGTCCTTTTTACTGTTTAGTTCTCTAAGAGTCGAGGAAACTGTCTCAAGAACTAAGGGAAGGCCTGGGGGTGTAGCTCAGTGGTGAAGTGCCTCTGGTTCAGTATCCAGGATGGATGGATAGATGGGGGCATCTCTGGAGGACACTGAGGGCCAGATGGGGAGGAGTTAGGAAACCCTGACCTTGTAGAGCTCCTTGGGTGAGCTTCATTGAGAAGAGGGTGAACAAGAGGAGAGGCTTTAATGTTGCATATTTGTGGAAAGGCTTGAATTGAAGTTCATTGTTTATTTAAAAATTTTTTTGGGGGGGGTAATAAAGGATTTAGGTACATTGCTTTTTTCTGAACTTAAATATCTGCCTCCACTTGCTCCTCCCCCTGCCTGACATTTTTTATTGGTACGTTGTAGCTGAAGGTGATGGTGGGATCATTTGTTGCCTATGGTACCTGCGCAGTGCAATGACCTAACTCTGCCAGTGTCCCTCCCTGTCACTCCCCTGCCTCCTGCATGACTGCATCTTGACCCATCTTCAGCACACTGATGTGTTACCTTCCCAGGGTGGGGGGCATGGCATTGTCCTGTAACCCTCTGTTGGGACCCTCATAGGAGTGAGACATCCCCACTTCCCAGTGCTGCTGGTGCTTCCTGATTGATGTCCAGGGACTGTGTTCAGGGTTGGCCTTGCCTTCTGGTGCCCTGTGTGGCCTGCTCCGTGTGGAAGAGGCCCTTGGGTTTTTTTTTTTTTAATGACTTGGAAATTTGAAGGTGATAGGCCAGATATTGTGTCGAATGGCCCTCGTGGTGTTTCTGTGTAATTGGACTCAGGCTTTGCGTTCTGGGCAGGGAGAGTTAGTGAAGTTGAACATGATCCTTCCTTCTTGCCTTTGGGTCTTCTGTCCCTGTTTTGGATGACGTTCTTATTGGTCATTCCGTAGGGATGATGAGCCTCCAGTGTGAAGTTACTCATTTCAACCTTCCTAGTACCCGAGGGATAAATTAAAAGTTTCTTTGAAGCTGGACCTCTTTCATTTCTCAGTCGAACCCATTTTTCTTAATCTGTTCATTTCCTATTTTATGCAGAGGGCTGAGATCTGTTACTGTCACTGTTGGGCTCATCTTGTCACTGGGAGCTCTTCTGGATGGCCATCTTGTCCTTGTGGACATTCCTGTTGTCCTTCCAGCCCTGCTTGCAGCACAGGTGTTCCAGGCCCATCTTGTGCTCTTACCCTGGTCCCCAGCTGGCCATTTCTCAAAGCTGCCCTGGTCGGTTTTACTGGCAACTGATGTTTACGAGTCGGGATCTGGGCTTTAGGTGTCCTGCAAGCTAATATTAGTGCACCCTGGGGTGCAGGTATGTTGATAGTCCCTGGAGATGCTCTCATAATCCTCCTCAGCTGTGGATCACATGGCTGTTAAAGGAGGGCAGTGATGGCCTAATCACCAATTCATGTGTGCCAATCTTTCCAGAGCTCCCGTGGAGAGTTCCTGTGCTCCTAAGTGTTAATTCTAAGGGATGGCGTGTGCTGCTGGGGTGGCCATGGAGGGAAGAGAGGAGAGTGGCTGATAGGTATCAGGAATGCCGGGCGAGTGGGGCAGTGAGAAGGAATTTGAGCAAAGGAATATTTGCAGGGTCCCTGATATCATTAGCACGAGGAGCTCAGTGCAGTAATTAAAGTTCTGTTGTGATGTGTGTGATGAGATTCTATTTTGTTACCTGGGTCATGCATCTTTTTAATGCATTTGGAACTAGATGCTTTAAAAGGGCACCCCCCCACACACTTGGGAAATTTATTTGGCTATCTGGAATTGCTGAATGGTACTATTAAAAA